TGTTCAAATCATGGTGTTGGGCGGGGCCACAATGGCCGACCAAAGTTTTACATAGAAATATATAGGAAAATTCTTTAAAAATCTTCTTCTCAAGAATAGCAAAGTCATGACTGGTCATACTCATACATGTATTTATATGGAAGTACATGTATTCTCAGATAGCGTAGATTCAAGTTTGTGCAAATCATACCCTGTCCCCTTTAAGGAATGGTTGGGACTACTGGGTATTGGGTAATTATAGACCGGTTAGTATTCTTAGTGTTGTTTCAAAAATTTTAGAGAGATCTGTTCATATGCAACTTTCAAAATTCTTAGATCGTAATAATATCTTATATGAGTTTCAATCTGGTTTTAGAAGTAAGTACTCCACTGAATCTTGTTTGATACATTTATTTGATTTTATAAGAGATAATACTGCAAAGGGATTATATACTGGAATGGTTATGCTTGATCTGCAAAAGGCATTTGACACTGTTGACCATGACATACTTTGTAAAAAACTAAAAGCAATTGGTGTTCAATCTGTTGATTGGTTTTTATCTTATTTGTCTGAAAGAAAACAGTTTGTTCACAGTAATGGAATTTCTTCAGATGCTGGTATTATCACTTGTGGTGTACCACAGGGCAGTATTCTAGGCCCTTTATTATTTTTAATTTACGTTAATGATATGGTTACTAGTGTTGACGCAGATTGTAAACTTATTTTATACGCTGATGACAGTGCCATTATATTTGCACATAAAGATCCTGATTTTATATCAGAAAAGCTTGGTAAAGTTTTAGAACAGACTTCGCACTGGCTTGTTGATAATAAATTATCGTTACATTTAGGTAAAACTGAATGCATTTTATTTGGTTCCAAAAGAAAGCTTCAAAATGTTGAAAAGTTCCAGGTTGTATGTAATGACCATAACATTGATTGTAAAGAAAAAGTTAAATATCTTGGAGTTTTGATCGACAGATGTTTAAGTGGTGAATACATTGTTGAATCGATTGTCCAGAAAGTAAATAATAGATTGCGATTTCTGTACCGACAAGCCCGGTTTTTAGATACTTTTTGTAAAATGACTCTGTGTTCAGCATTAATACAATGCCATATTGATTACGCCTGTAGTGCTTGGTATGCAGGACTATCCAAAACTTTAAAGAAAAGGTTACAAATTTGTCAAAACAAGATGGTTCGTTTTATTTTGAATTTAGGTCCTCAGGCAACTGTTAATTACGAAATACTTAGTCAATTAAATTTATTAAATATTCAAGATAGAGTTTCTCAGCTTAGACTCAACCATGTTTTTAATATTTTTCAAGGAAAAGCCCCTTCTTATCTTAATGAACATTTTATACTTCGGTCAAATTTTAGTAGCTATCATACTAGATCAGTCTCAAATGCAGATTTTGTCGTTCCAATAACTAAGCAAAAACAATCTGAATCATTTTATTTTAATGGAATCAAAGACTGGAACATGTTACCAGCACAAATTAAACCTGTTTTAAACACTGGAAATAATTTTGCTTTTAAAAGAAATGTCAAGAAATTTTTATTAGAAAGGGGAATTGCCCAGTGTAAAAGTCAAGTTGTGTTTTATTAGTTTTCATTATTAGTATAAGTTGTTCCAATTACAATCATGTGAATATTTGGTATACATTCACAATACACTTCATTTTTAAGGATCTTTGTGTTGTCAACTTGATCCCATATCTTAGCTATAGTATTTTAATTTTATATTTATCTGCTTATATTATTTAACATCCAATTAATATACATGTTTGAGTATAAGGACCCCATTGGAAATAAGCCATTGGCTTTCATGGGTTATCCTTGGTATACAAATATAATCTTATGTGAATCATATTTATAAATTCATGTCTTTTAAAAATGATAGATTCCGATATTTTATATCAATTATATTGTTTAATGCCATCTTTTATATATATATATCTTAAATTATATTGTGAATATTGCAACGTATGTGTAGTATACCAAATAAATATCTATCTATCTACTTTTGGGTTTAAACTTTTCAATAATAAACTAATTTTTGCTTTTATGCTAGCCACAATGCTCAGGTGACAGGGAATATACACGAGTGATATATGAAAAGCTCTAACGAATCAAATCTAATCAGACTAATGTATGGAACGCCGGGACTGTCTTATATGAGGATTAAATATTATATGCAGTGCTTCCTTCATTATATGCGGTACTATTTTTATTATATGAAGTAGTTTTTACATTATATCGTGTACAACCTCCATTATATGCAGTACTTCTCTCATTATATGATGTAGATATGTCATTATATTATGTACATCTATCATTATATGAAGTGCTTTTAACATTATATGCGGTAGTTCTATCATTATATGCGGTAGTTCTAACATTATATGCGGTAGTTCTAACATTATATGCAGTAAACACAACAATATATTATGTACTTCTCACATTATATACAGTACATTCATCATTATGCATAGTATTTCTGTTATTATGATGATGCTGATCATTAAATATTATGTCCGGTCCAGTTAGCATTCCGTGCGGTAGATTTTGCATTTCGTTATGATGTAGACACAGTATTATATGCGGTGCTTTCTTCTTTATGATGATGATCTTTCGGAAGCTACCCTTCGGAACCCTCTCTGTTATATTTAGAAAGTTTAACTTTTTGCGTTCTTAGATATGGACATTCTTCATGGTTTTAGGTTATATTTTTTAAATTTATTTAGTTTGACAAAAACCACATGTGGCGCAAGTAAACAAAAATAATAATTAATATAGTCACATGGATTTTCTTATATTAATTAAATGCAACACGCATGAAGTTACAAATATTTCTTGTATATTTAACATCTGCTGAATTAAGAATTTCATAAGTTATACATGTATTTTTGAAAAGTGTACAAAATTCACTTTTGAGTTCAGGCGCGGATCCAGAATTTTTTTTTTTTGGGGGGGGGGGGGGGGGTCACCCCAGTCCAAAAAAATAAAATCCACCCCCCCCCCCCGAAAAAAACGTACAATCGCCTAAATTTCAAATACCTATTACATGGGGGGGGGTCAATGACCTCTAGTTTTTCAAACCTCTGACTTTTCATACCAATTTAACACAAATTCGCGGTTACCAGGGGGCGGGGGTCTGCGATTTCCGAGGGTGGTCCAAGGTTACCTTTTTCTTGCCCCCACCCCCTTTAGATCCGCGCGTGATTAGTTGTTTATAAGGAGGGCACAAACAAATAAAAAATTATGTTCATCTTCAACAACAGTTGATACAATATCTTTCATCTCTTGGGTAACATAATCTGCCAACCTCTATCTTTATTTTGTGGACACTTATTTTCAATCCAGTTAAAAAAGAACTAAGATTTTTGGAAATTAAGTATGGTTGAATTTCAAGCTTGTTAAGATTTCGTTGACTTATTAACTAGATTTATCCCTACATTAATTAAAGGAATTTCGAAGTCATGTCAATACTTCAGTAGTTTAATTACAATGAGAGAGAGAGAGAGAGATGCGCTTATCATTGAAATATTTTTACCATTCCATTGTATTAATTGTTAAACTATGGCATATAAAAAATGTATGATATTCACTGTCTTTAACTGTACTATATAAATGATATATATCAGGAAAAGACATGCGATTTTCAGAGCAGACATTACACGCGCGTAGTAACACCCTCCCCCTTTTCCTAAACATAACTTTTACTATTGAAAATTCTCAATGTTTTTTGACTTGTCCACTTTCTTCAGGTAACTTGGGTTATTTTTTTTCTCCGGCTGAACCCCCCCTCCCCCTTCCCCCACTTTCAAAAACAACGTCTACGTCACTGTATTGAGTCGTCGTGGATTGTACTTCAAGAATTTACTTTTGTAAAGGGTAATTTTACATTATGAAAAATTAGCACACCCCACCCCTAAATACAAGTACAATAAATAATGTAATGTTTTCTATAACGCGCTGTTAAAGACCTGCGTACTCGAAGACATCAGTTAATTTTTTTTCATTACCCATTTTAAAATTGATTGTCCTACATATGAAATGAAGCTTTTTGAATGCCATATTGTTCACAAGAAAGAAAAAAAATCTCTCATTTTTTTTCCACTCCCCTTCTCTCTCTCTCTCTGTTTACTTCATACTATAAAATAGATGGCATTTTTTTACTCAATTACCCTACTTCTTATCCTTTAAAAACAATTTAATTAGTTCATGTAGCATTTATTATTCACCGCTTTAATCAGAGACATAAATAATACGCGCATGTATTTTTATTGTACTGAATTCAACAGTTGATAGAAAGAAGAACCTTGAACAGAGAGTTCCGAAGGGTAGCTTCCGAAAGATCATCATCATAAAGAAGAAAGCACCGCATATAATACTGTGTCTACATCATAAAGGAATGCAAAATCTACCGCACGGAATGCTAACTGGACCGGACATAATATTTAATGATCAGCATCATCATAATAACAGAAATACTACACGTAATGATGAATGTACTGTATATAATGTGAGAAGTACATAATATATTGTTGTGTTTACTGCATATAATGTTAGAACTACCGCATATAATGTTAGAACTACCGCATATAATGTTAAAAGCACTTCATATAATGATAGATGTACATAATATAATGACATATCTACATCATATAATGATATAAGTACTGCATATAATGGAGGTTGTACACGATATAATGTAAAAACTACTTCATATAATAAAAATAGTACCGCATATAATAAAGGAAGCACTGCATATAATATTTAATCCTCATATAAGACAGTCCCGGCGTTCCATACTAATGGGCAAGTTTAAAGTTTTGATAAATATTCACAAACACTCAATGGATCATTGGATGAACAGGACAAAAAATATATTCCCGAACGGGGGACAAACAAAAATGGATAGCAACTTTTGGGAAACTCTGTACCTTTTTTGTTGTTCAAATTTTCGCGGTATTTATGTTTTTACTCTTCAATAAAGAAGGTAAGAAGTGTATCACAGTCAAAACATGCAACTTTTAGCTTGGAGGTAAAACAAAACGTGGGTAGTCCCTTCATATACTGCCTGTTTAATTGTTTTGAGAATAACGACATTATGACAGAAAAATATGCAATGATTACAGAATTTTAGATTGTCTAAAAATGGATTTAGGTCATGTGAATGTACGAGGACAGAATGTTGATCTTCTTCATCAAGGTAAGTTGACACTATATCCACAATATAGCTCATGTACAGGTAATGTTATACAGTGAAGTGGCAGAGTGTCAGTTTGTATTTTATTGTTTATATTGATTTTTACTGGGGGTTTTTTTCTTCCACGTGATAACAGATAGTGAACGAAATATAAATCTATACCCCGTAAATAAATAATCAGTGGTATGTTGTATAAAAACTAAGATAACATTGGTTAATACTTGTTCTTTATGGGCCCCCTCTCAGATCTTACCAATGCTTAATTTCCATCTGTATATATATATATATATATATATATATATATATATATATATATATATATATATATATATATATATATTTTTTTTTTTTTTTTGCTTCACCATGCAGGGCCCTATATAATGTTGGTATATAATAAATTATACTGTTAGTATATAGGTAATTGGCTTTACAAGGATTTTTTAATGCCACCTTTTAAATAAATATATTGAGATTTGCTTCCTATATGCTTGATACATTATATATGTACATGTATATAAAACATATTATTAATTCATTCTTAATTTAGAGTAGCAAGCTGTGTAATCTCATCCTATAAGTATGCTATCCATTATTTTTACACACAATCACCTGATTGACTACATGTGTAACCGTTAGTTGATTATGGAAATTACTGAAGAACTAAAACTGTCAACATCTGACTTTGCTACTGTGGAATCTCAGGCATGCCAATTAAGTGAGCTTAGATTGACAATCAGGGCTGGAACCTTGTAGTCAGATAATAATCGGTCACTTCCAAGTCTCTCTGATCCCTTCTATTCTATGCTCTTTTTTTTTACCTGTGTGTGTCCAGGTATTACATAGAGAAGAGATTGAAAGTAAATTTCTATAAAAAAAAATCCCATTCTAATGTCATATTTAATTGACCAGGTTCAGTTAAGTATCTTTTACATCTGTGACACATACGACTGAAGTCCCAAAATTGATATTGTAACCCGGTGAACATTAAAATTATACCAGCAATGAATATTTATAAATCATTACATTTTATCAAATGAATCAGGCAAATACATAGATAAAGCTAAATTATAAACAAGCTATTATGAGGTTGATTTAATGGTAAATTAGCATAAATTTTGCTTTTCACTCTGTGATTCACAGAAGAAGTATTTTATCTTTGTACATCAAGTTCATACCTCAGAATCAACTTTAATATACATATAAAAAATGAAATGATAAATTACTTTTTTTAGAAATATGTAATTTTAAAGCAGAATTTTTTTGTGTGGATGTTTATAGTTTTATTTTTCAGCAATTCATCCTGACCATGGAGTTGTGTGGACTGATGGTAAAACAATCTACCTGGCCCCTGTCCAGCTGTCCCACGGTCAAGTAGTCAATCAAAGGGCCGTAAAACTGGGCAAGTTTGAGTGAGTAAAACAAAAGATGAATGGCATACTGAGATTTAAGAGAATTACAGCTTCTTCCAAGTACATATACTGTCATACATGTACCAGTGCAACCTCAATATTCAAGAGGGGTAACATTTATGCGAGAACTCAACAAAGTATTTTACCCTAGATTTGATTGTTTAATTTTTTTCTGCAAGATTTATTGCAGAAATAAATCTGTATTGATACTTTACAATTTTGAATAACAAGATGGACAACTTTATTTGTACATAGAGGGATATGTTATTCCAGGGGCTGCATTGTCTTGTTAGTTGTACTGAAAACAAATGACACAAAGAATATGATAAAAAGGTAGAAATGAACCCATTCGCAACAGATGTCCCACCTCAGACAAAACCGTCCTATAAAACTGATATTGAACTGTGGATATTTAGCTATAAACTGTAACTTTAGCTAAAGTTAACACGAAACTTGGCATTGTTTGAGTAGCGTTCTGACACGGTAGCTGTTACAAACAAAAATCAATGAAATAGGTTTAGAACAGGGTAGAATGAAGACAGAAATGTTCCACTGATCAAGTACCTGGCATGATTTATATAGAGGACTTTAAATAATTTAGTGATATTGTACATGGAACTTATGGAAATACCAAACAGTATTCAAGATCAAAAGTCCATAAAACAATTAATACAAAATAGGAGCAAAGCAAACACAGACCTCAAAAACATCAGAGGTGGGATCAGGTGCCATGAAGGAGTGAGCATCCCCTGCTGACCTACTGAAAAAATGACATTAAACGAGACTGCTGATATTCTTGTTTCATCAACTTGTTTGTCAATAATATACCTCTTTTTAGATATTGTTCATACGTAGTACGTATGCATGTGGTAAGCATGGATGTATATAACATAAAAACCTCGCGTCTTGAAAATAGATCTGCAGAATGAAATGAACTGTTTTCAATTTTTTAAAGGAAAAAGGTATAATATGCATAATAAAAAATGATCTATCCATGGAGGCAACATTGATACAGTGTGATGCACAATCAATTTGCTTTATTTTGCAGCCACGAGGTTCCTAGTTATTTCTCCTTCAGGCAACCCTGTATACACACAGAGTAAGGCCTATCTTCTCTTAGCACTATGGGGTACACACAAAGCTTCTTACAGAGACATAAGCACATTATAGAACGTTATAGTTTTGTAGATTTTTAAGCTTTTTTTTTAGTCATTAGGTACAGGGAAATAAGGATTTAGTTGGACACCAGGTGGTTTTTAATAGGTTCTCATTTTAATTTCTGTATTAATTTTTTTTTCTTATTTTAAAGTACTTGTTTTATTTTGTTAATACTGTCTATATAACTTTAAGAAATATGCTTTCATATGTTACTTTTTTAGAATTACAGGAATTTGAGGTCAGGAAATTATTTAAATACATGCACAAAATTGTATTAAAATTTAATTTTTAAAAATTATAATTCTAGAAAAATGAGAGAAAGAGAAACATGAATCAATGAATTATGATTTTTTTTTTTTTTTTTTTTTTTTTGAAAGTACCAATTCTAAAATTCAATAATTTCAAATAAAATTTTGAGGACTTTTATCATTGCTAAAAAAAATCTATGGACTTTGGAATTACAGGAAGTTTAAAGAATGGCAAAAATTAAAATGGAAAAAATTATGAATATATAGCCAAAAATTATATTTCTAACTTCACACATTTTTCCATAATAGACTTTTTTATTTGGACATAATGGACTTATTCTGTATGCAGTTTTCACAAGAAATAGGTTGCATTGTCTTTATTTGAAGATGTACATCTTTGACTGACTAATTAGTTTTCTTTTGATATATTCAAATAATAAAATGGATTTGTACGGCCATGAGGTACCATTTTCAGTCACACATCCTTTTAACTCGCAAGGGTACAGTGTAGAAGATAGGACTTTCACTTTTAGGGGAACAATGTTATTGTAGGAATGAAGAGCCGTTATATCACAATTAATCTCTTGTTTTTCAAACTGGACCGGTCCTGGGAAGATTAATTTACAAGTCAGATTAGGGTCGTTAATCATTCCCTGGACAACAAGATCACCCCTAATCACCCCTGTACAAGGCCACAAGTAGCTATGATCTCTCTGTTGTCATTGTCTTGTCTCCAGCCAGAGCTCCAACAATGGAATCTGAGCAATCCTCCCTAATTCTATTTTTACCTTGATTTTTACCTGTTGGCCAGGTGTGACAAATATTTTAGGTATTTCATAAATACCTGTGCAGTGTAATGTTCAGAATAGATTAGCATCTTTCATTTTACTCTGAGTGTAATGTTCTGGTATGTTAATGACATTCAGATCTGTCCTACAGCCCAGTTGGATTGTCTAGTAACCTTGTGTCACTCTTACACCTGTAGTCAGAACTTCCGTGTGAATTTTATTTCCCTGTGTATAATTATACCTGCTTCTTTAAAAGATGAAGTGTGAAATTGAAGTTAAAGTACAAATTTTATGATGAAGAAAGTTCCATTGATTTAATACATGCACTTCAAGCCATTGCCTAGATACGGAGCTGAAACTGTCTGAGAAATGAATTTCAAATAGACATGTGCATACGTAAGAGAGCTATATATCTATCCACTTAAAAAAAATCTTTGATTTACAATGAAACTTATGTCACAAGCTTCTGAATCAATATTATATCTTTCAAAATACTTGTAATAATTTCCCACCTAAAGCATGGTAGCAATTAATTTAAACATATGCGTTACGTCTATTTTTGGTACTTCATTTTCGATCTTTTAAGTGGATCCTATTAGCTGCAATAATGTTGCCCTCTCCCCCCCCCAAAAAAAAAAATCGGAGAGGGCTACATTATTGCAGCTAATCCTATTGACCTTCTGTAGTCTGTAGATTTTACGATTTCTACTACTGCATTTACAAAAAAGGGGCATAAATCAAACTCTTGTCATTTCCCATGTTTAATTTTGCAACAATCACCACTTCATTAAAATATTTGAAAATGTTGCTGAAATATCACCAGTACAACATAAAGCTTGGAATCAAATGAACAGTTTTTTCCCCCTTTTAAATTACGGACAGTATATGATAAATGTACTTGTCCTCTTTTTGCAGGCAGTCTGTGAAGAGTGTACACTGGAGCTGTAACATAGGACCACAATCCTGTTACATGTGTGTAGTCCACGCTCAGCACTTATCTCTCTGGAAGGTCGATGGAACTGTCCCTAAACTCAGCTTCAAGCAAGTCCGAAAACTAAACGTCCAACCCATCTCTAAAGGTAACTAAGGAAATAACCACCAATAGTGTTTTTAGCCAAAATGGTGATGAAATCCTGGCTTAAGCAACACATATTCTGTCTTATTTTTGTTGTAAACTTCCTATGGAATCAGAAAAGAGACAATTATTCCTATATTGTAGGTGGCCTGTTGAATCATAGAAGAATGATTATCTACATGTACTGACTCTCCACTGCTTTTCCCCCACAGGTTGCCTATGGAATCCCTGTAGGGACATTTTGTGTATCCTCAGTAAGCAGCAGTGTAGCTTTTTCTTCAGCCATGCCAAGAACCGAGGGAGCTATGCCTTCCCTGCACTGGAAAGGTAAGTAGAGGGGAGATAATCCAGATGGAAAATAATGCCTTTTCTCCCCTGGAAAGGTAGATAAAGGGGAGATGATCTTGATAGAAATGATGCCCTCCCTTCTATGGAAAGGAAGATAAAGGGGAGATTATTCAGATAGAAAAAAATGCCCCTTCTCCCTTGGAAAGGTAGATAAAGGGGAGATTACCAGATAGAAAAAATGCCCCCTCTCCCTTGGAAAGGTAGGTATAGAGGAGATACTGTATACCAGGAAATTTTTGCCTCCGTTTTATTTTCACCCCTTTCACCCTAGCCACAGGTTGGCGAATTTAAAACGGGCCAAATTAAAAATACACAGCATGATTTCTTAAACAGAATTGTAACTGGGCGAATTTAAAACGGGCCAAAGTTAATTGTGGTGCACATATATATACTAGTATAGAAATGTAAGTATTATATGCAGTGCAGCAGTATAGAACTTTAAAGATTTCTTGTTTTGTAGTGGAAAAATCAGTTGTGGAAGCTGGTCACAGGATGGAACCAGGCTGATTTTATGTGTGGGAGCTGTTATACTGGTAAATATCTTCATAAGTAAGATAAAAATAGATAATGTTAACAAATCCAATTTTAAATGTAGAATTATTTTAATTCCTGGGGGTCAATTTCATAGGCAATCCAATTTTTAAGAGTTTATTAATGGGGACATGATTACATGGAATTTAACTCATATATCTGTATACAGAAAATTTGATGAACCCAAATGTTAAAGTTGTGAATAATGGGATGTGGATTGATAGGTAAGGATGACCAGCAAAATCCACAAAAATTGGTTCCCCACAAACAATGATGATTTTACAGTGTCGTATATAATTATCTGGAGCTTGAACATCTACCTTTCTTCATGTTCCACTGCTTTTGAGCTACGTGTATTTTATAAAGATATATGATTACCTTGTTTTCTCAATAATTTTAAGGTATACACTTGGGATGATATAGACCTCTCCATTAACAGTTTCACACCAGCAGCCTGGAAAATCCCTGGGTAAGAAGGATTTTTTTCCTAACCTACAAGATTCTTAAGGGAAAAATGAACCTTTTCCAGGAGTATAGTAAATTTCCTCCTTTATTTGAATTTCCTTCTTTCCCTCTACATAAAGTTTAATTTTTTTCAAAAATTGTTACCAGTACTTTATTTTTTCTTACCCTCCAAAAGCCTTCTGTCCAGGTATTTATTACTTTTTTCTCATTTTTAACAGATCACAATGTAAGTATTGACTTCAGTACCTGTAAGGTCAATCTCCCGTAGCAATTATAGTTGTTTTTAACAATATACAATTATAGCCTTTTGATGAGGTCAATCCCAAGATATACAGCAAAACTCGTTTAGTACGAACACGGATATAGCGAATTCACGTTTATAACGAAGTTTTTTTTTGGATCCCCAGCTATATAAATTTACGTATTTCTTATATGAATATAACGAATTACGGATATAGCGAAGTAAATTCATAGGTCCCCATGACTTCTTTATAACCGAGTTTTACTGTATATAACTTAAGGAAAACATGTTGACCGAGCACGAAGTGCGAGGTCGGTTTACTCTCTCTAAGGTCTATATATCTAGGGATTGTACCAAATCAAAGGGTACAATTGTTTTATTATTTTTTTATCAGCTAATAAGAAATATCTTAAAATTCATGTTTCTAATATGCAGTACCTTCCCATATAATGCATTATTGCAGTGAGATACTTTTAATTAAGTTAAAACCCCTCAGCCTAGCATCCTCCTGAAACAAATACACCCCCCCCAAAAAAAAAAGCACTATCTTAAGATGCAATGTAAAAGTTCTTTGGTTGCCCTCTCCAGACTGACTGGCTAAAATGGTCCAACTCCAAAACTTACTTTTGAATTTCCAGGAAGCAATTATTTCTATTATGCATAGATTTTGAAAATACTGCATTGATGTTGAAATTTTCTGGGAAAATATTTTGACTTGTACCTTATAACCGAATTGTTCATCCTGAGATGAGAGAGGGCAAACATTGTTATGAAGTGGGTCCTATCTGATTTTTTTTTCTGTTTATCTGTAAACATATTGGATGGTAACATCAGAAGTGTGACTCTGTTGTCTAAGTCCCTATTAGTGTGTGCTACAGAACTTTTTATTTGTTTATCTGTACAGGTTGGAGGGCAGCATCAGAAGTGTGTGTCTGTTGTCTAAGTCCCTATTAGTGTGTGCTACAGAACTTTTTATTTGTTTATCCCTCTGGAATCTCTCTGTAAAAACCAGGACATGTTTGAGGCCCCCAGTAAGTATAACCAGTATTATCATAGTAAAAATCAAAGGCCTGAAAGTGAATGAGATTAATTGTTTTATCATTTCGGCCTAGATTTACAGTTCATATTTTTGTTGCGCTTTATTTACAGTTCATGTTTTTATGTTAGTTTTTGATAAAATTTCACATTATTAGCTTAACGGGTATATAAAAGTTTGTTATTAAGGCAAAGTCAGTCATTGTTTTTATATGAGAAAAAAGTTTGTGTACTATTACTTGTACAAAGCAATAAGAAATAGGGTTGGTAGGTGAGGTGAAATTCTTTTCTTTAATATGTGCATACTATTTAATTATAATTTGTTGTACAGTGGTGTTGAATGGAGACAGTCTTCACCAGAGCAACGATTCTGACATCATCGTACCAAGGAAACAGAACTCTTCTCAATCACTGACAGGTGTGCTGCTAAACCTTCCCAAAAATCCGCAGGTAAAACGTATTCCGGTATGCTAAAAAAATGCATAATGAATTGTTTAAATACATTTTTAAACTTAAGGCATGTAATAAGTTAGCATCATTTAAAAACCATTTGTATGCTATTTGTATATTGGCATCATTTAATAGCAAAACCCTTTCCTTACTCTGTCAAAGCATAAGATTAAAGTAGAGGCAAACTTCATATTTAGTCTACTGTTCATCCATATCAATACAATTTTGCTGATATAAAAATGTGCAGACATAATCTTATGCTTTTTTATAATTTTGAAAAAAAAATAGCAGCCATAAAAAAATGCAATTAAAGGACTTCAAAAAAGGAACTTGACTTATATGTTGATAGTAAAAGAAAGATTTGACATGTTTTACTGGTAAATTCATTCCTGTGTTAATTGTCTGCAGCTTTCATAATGTCTCTTTTTCATTATTGTGTGTTTGACAAAGTGTTAATGTCTCTTGTTCATTTTTATCTGTTTGACAGAGTGTTGTGCAGGAGACGGCTCAGCTAGTGACGGTCTATTTACGGGAGAACAGGGACCCCCAGAGGAAGAGCTGTGTGGGGGTCAGGGGGCTCCTGTCTCCAGAGGTTCTGATGTATGAGGTAATTAGTCTCCAGCAGACCTAATGGGGTCACACAGGGCATAGTTAAAACTGAGGGAGAGTCAAGGCTGGTAGAGATTGATAGCCATTTGAGTTACTTCCCTTTCCAAAGTCTCTTATAAGTCGAATTTTTCAAAGTTTCTTTCTCTGCTTTAAATATAATGTTCATTTTATCCTGCACAACTATGATTATCCCTCTATCATGTTTTTAATATGTTTTTACACAATGAAGATACTTTAATTTCTATAGACTGAATGTTTCAACAAGGGTTAAGTACTACAAAAATGGCTTACTCTCTTTTGGTAAAATGGTTGGCCTTTCTTTCAATTTTGATATAAGAATACATTATTACTGCTACTTCTTGTTATTAAACCTTTTTGACTGATTTTAAGATCTTTTGTATACTAGCCCAGCCTGAGGTCTATCGTTGTCGGCAGTAACACTCAGAAAGTATTACAGGTGTTTACATTCACCAAGGAGGGGCCATCAGGGGATCTGGTCAAGTCAGCAGAAATTGTAAGTACTCATGTACTCTAGGCAGACCAAAACAATCTGATTCAACTAGTCTCTTCTCAAGAGCATGGCATAGAATTGTCACACTTGTATACATGTATCTTAATAATAAAAGTGTAGATTCAATTTCAAACTGTGCTCCCATGAACTGAAAATTTAAAACAATAAAAAAGAGAACTTCGTGTATACTGAAATCTTAAAAAAAAAATCTTAGCTCAACACAATATAGGGTGGTTCTATGATAAAATAAAAATTCAAATAATGTGGCTCAGAATAAACGCGGGTGAAGAGGAGGACCTGTGGCCTCTTGTCCTGCATAATTTATCCACAGTACTTTTTGTTCATAAAGGTCAGAAATGTTTTTAACTTGAGTGATATTGGTTGTCAATTCTTGATTTTCCTTTTTGAACAGCAAATGGACAAATTGGAAAGACCTAAAGGAATTGGTTTAATTCCTAAAGACTCACCCATGGGTTACAAAGGAATACTTATTGCAGCTGGAACTAAGAAAAACAGTGACTCAACCTTTCTACCATCAACATCAGGGTCCAACATGGATGTCAAACTAAAGTTCTTCTCCATAGATGTTGGTAAGGTCCAGCAATTTGTTGGTATTGTTAAAAAGTTTGTCACTCTAACAGAGTTAATTTCATTTATGGCCAAACAATAATACTTTATCTAAGAGGTACATACTAGTATAACAGTCACAGAAAATGTTGTATTGTATGTGATATGCTTTTAAAATACCAGTACTTTTTTTAAAAGTTATGATTGAAATTTAGATACAGGCATTAAAAAAAAAAGGAACTTTGACTTTTAGATGGAGTATATATTTATACTTGATGTTATTATTTCTGGATATCCAAGTAGATGCATGAGATTGACTTTAAATGGGCAAGAAGGGGGGGTCTCTCTACTACATAGTAAAGAAATGTTGTTTGCTATGACTGACCTCAATACATCAATACCTCATTTACTTAAACTTAACAATATCAAAACCTATTCTTGCCACCACCACCCTTTTCCTGTTCATCCTTTAAAAAAATTGGCAATATTTTATCTCAGTTAAAAAAATCATAAATAACAAAATCTAAAAGCCTTGGCAATGCATTCATGTATGTCTACTATATGATTCTTATGCCCCCTTCGAAGACTGTCACAATTTTAAGCCTTGCTTTGCTGCTGTCTGTCAGTCAGTCTGTCTGTCGGTCCACCAAGTTTCAATTTTTCTTCACAACTGTTGCACCTACTGAAATGAAATTTGGTATACAGTTTTATAAGAATATCTAAATCAAGTCCTGTTTTGGGTACGATGGAGCCATTTTTGACAGAGTTATGCCCCTTGGACTCAGAAAAATTCCAATTATTTGCAGTTTGTGTTCATTTTGTTTGCAGAGGTTGCAGAAATGATATCATAGGAATATCTAGGTCAAGTTCTGTTTTGGATAAGATCCAGCAGTTTGGGACAGAGTTATGCCCCTTAGACTTAGAAAAATTCCAGTTATTTGGGAAAGGGAGGCATAAGTGTTTTACAAACATCTCTTGTTTTTCCAGAAAATTTTATACAATCAGAATTTCTCAAATATTAAATGTTTTAAGAGTGTGTTTGTGAGATAAGGACTCTTAGTTTATTTTTGGTATATTTTTTGATATCCTTAATTTTATATAGATCTGTAATTACATGTAGAAGAACATTAGAGTATTAGAGTATTGTTTGGTTTAAGCAACAAGTACCAGCATTGTGACCATGATAAAACATTGGATTTTAGAATTATTGCTAATTATTACTCAGTTAGATATCCTCCATTGAATTCATTTTTTTTCCCAATCAAGGTAGACTTCCTTTCAGCTGTGTTTTGAATGAGGGTTGAAAAGACAGAATTCCCTTTATTTGTACATACAGCACATGATGCATCCATCCTTAACCACAAATAAATAGGATTATTTCTTACGTCCTGGTGTATCTGTTATTCACTGAGTTCGGCTCATAATTCTGCAGGATTATACGCGTACCAGCCTGAGAGTGGTACTCATCCTTCAAGTCGCTCTACTTGAGAACTTATCTGTTTTTAAAAGTAAAATGATAAAAATTGACAGTTTTCCGAGAGTTCTAATGGGCTGCTTCTCCTGATACTTGACCTATAGTACAGGTACTTGCAGTCAAGATTGAAATTTGGACTGCGGAAGAAATTAAAATTATTAATTAAATTTTGTAATTTGAAAATTTTTGTATCAGGTTCTATATAAAATATTGTATGGATATGTGTTAAATGACTTCTAGATATTTCATTATTTTTATTGTTTTTTTTTTTAAAAATGCTATTCATGAATGTTATTTTTTTATGGATGAAAATCTCTTTTAAATATGAACAAGCATCCCTGTAGTTTGCATCTAATACTTTAATAAATTGTACTACTTTCATTTTCAATGTTTGAAGATAAAACATCTTAAATTATACAATCCTTATTCATACACAGTAAAAAAAAATGTGGAAACTTGATGAAATGACTTGTATTTCGAATGGGAAATTGAGTCGTGTGTGTGAAAGGTTTTGTCAGGAAATACGTGTGCACTTCTAATCTTCCTGTTCGGTATAGGGAAAGTAAAATTAACCTTAGTCACCCACAAATCTCTGTCAGGTTCAGTGTTATAATGGTGAGTATCTGCAAGATGGAAAAATTTGCATTTGAAACAAAATTGTTCTGATAATCTTTGTATTGTAGAAAACTTGATTATCTAGCATGTCTTATGTCACTGAAATATTACAAAATTGGAAGTAAAAAAAATATCATATATTGCTTTTCAGATACATGTACTACTTTATTGTTCTGAAGGTTTTTTTTTCTTTTAAATATTCTAGCAGGTAGTTTATGTGACAAATTGATTGGAAAGTAATTTTAAAAGATTTCTAACTATTATTTTTCTTTGCAGATCCATCCCGCTTCCCGTTGGACAAATATTTAAATGAATCTGCTGACTCATCAGAATCTGTGTGCAGTAGTCTCTCCTCCATAGAATCACCAAGGCAACAAATCAAAGTCAACATGGAGCTTGAACAAACAGAATCTTTAAACAATCAAAATGAAAATACTGTTCCTAGACTTGATCCAGAGGAAAGCACAACAGGTGCAGATTTGTACCTCCCCAAACAGAAAACTCGTACAGAACTGTGTGATCCATCGGATACAGATTCAGAAGCATCACCAAGGGAAGTAACTCCAGGTTTAGTTCAAACTGACAATTCAAACAATGATATTCCAAAACAAAGTGACACAGACTCCAAACCATCTTCAGACAGCCAAGAAACACGAAAGGAATCAGTACCAAAGCTGGCTCTCACTGATGTTATCGTCGCAGATACCGATGTTCCTCCAAGGGAGATAACCCTGCTCTCTGCACCAGACAACTCGGCTAGATCTAAAATTGTGGAACTGAATCAATCCATCAGTGTTGAGAGTGATCTTGAGACAGAAAAAGTAGATTTTTCTGAGCAAGAAGCCAGATTTTCCTCAGGTGTAAGTGTAGAGGACATTGAGGATGGAATAGATGAAGTCACAGAAAGCTTGAATTCCAGACTGACTAAAGAAAGTGAGGAACAAGAAGGCAGTGGTATTCCTGATCCAGATGTGATGCGGGTAGATTCCATGGGTGACAGAGCTACACAGCAGCCATTAGAGGGAGTGCCTGTCAGTAATTCAGATGAGGGACAGATCTGTGTCCAGAATAAAGATAGAATGGATGTAGTCACAGAAACTGTTAATTCTGGACAGACTAACATAGAAAATGGGGATAAAGAGAGTAGTGTTATTCCAGATGTGATGCGGGTAGATTCTATGGGAGACAAAGTAACACAGCAGCCATTAGAGGGGGCACCTGTCAGTGAGTCTGAGGGGGGACAGGTCTACTTCCATGATGATGACGAGATTCTAAAAATAGAACAGATGGAGCAGGAACTTCTTGAACAGGTATAACTCTTCACAACTGACTGAATTGTTTTGCAGCATACTTTTAATGTTCACATCATAGAAATATACATTACCTTTTTCCCTGCAAGCACTTTATAGCATGGTACAAGTTTCTCTTAAAGTTTAGAGTAAATAATAATATGACAGAATATTTAATAAGAAAAAAACTTTTATTTTATGAGATTTCAGCATGTATGAAATAGAAGGAATTTGGCAATAAATTGAAGATTAAATAAACATTTTAAAGTGCATGAAAATGCGTAATTGCGTGGAAATGGTATATGTGTGATTTTGCGTTAGAAATAGGAAATGCTGTATGCGTTAAAATGTGTGACTGCTGGGATTAGGGGGTTGAACATTGAACATATCCACACTGCATTGAATATGGTTCCAAGACCATAAACTGAGAACAAACTTAAGTCAATATTTTAATTTTCAACATCTTTAGTTTTATTTAATATATTAGCTTAAAAATTTCCTTACTGTGCATAGCAGTTCAATTCAAACATATGATGAATATTTTATTTTATTTACAAACTTATTTTGAGAGTTATATAGATTTTAAATTTTGACGTAAGTCTGGTGTCAGTTGAGTTTATGGTCTTGAGACCTGGATTATTAAAAGAGAGGTCTTTGTATAAGCATGCTGTGTCTGGTCATATCATCCACTTCATTTTCAAGTAGATTTCACATCTTGGGAATAAAGTTAGTTACATTTAGTGCAAATATTGATTTTAATATTTTTATAACAGAACTGTTGGCCGAGCAAATGTGTAATTTGAAGTTTGAGTTTCTCTTTTGTTCATGCAAGTTGATGATACATTAAAATTTGGGGGTAATTGCGGTGCATTTGGTCTTCTTAGAATTACATAATATTTGTTACTTTGAATTCACTGATTGATTGATTGTATTTTGTTTACATCCCATTCAAGAATTTTTTGTCAAATAGATTTAGACTTTTACTTGGCACTCATGGCCGTTGAGCTTTAAGGGTTCTTTATTGTGCTAACCAGGGCATCGGTTTTTATGATTTCATCTAATGGAACTTTCACTTCAGAGAACTAGCGACCTTCCGATCTTGGAGCAAGCACTCTACCCACTAACCTACTGTGAAGTTGAATTGAATTTATAATTATTGAATTAATTTCATATAAACAATGAATTATTTGTTATTAATTACTTACCCTATGATAAAGATCCCATCCCTAGGTGCTTAAACTTCACTTGTTAGGATTATTTGCCACTTGTCTTGCTAAAAAATGCATTTTCAACACAGCAAAGTTACAGAGCTGTTTCTTGTGGATAAAAATCAAATCTTTAAATTCAGCAGTTGTATATATTCAAATCTTTCAGTTGTCCGTTCTTCATGGAATTATAATCAATTCACCCAATGGCTTGTTTTCTTCCTCTGTTTTGACAGGAGACAAAAATTATTTGTGCAGTCATGCCATCAGTTTAATACCTTGACATCAAAACCAAAATCTTTAGTCTGTTTAAATGGTGTATTTTTGTTTCTAAACTAAAATTATTGTGCCATTTAGCAAAAGGGTAGCAAATAATAATGTCCAATAGTACATGTATTCTGATTTATATAGGTAGCATCCTCAAGATTATCCACAAAAGGGTTTTGGCTGTACATAGATAGGTACCATGCAGGCATACACATGGTTTGAAAAAGACTTCATTCCCTCGTTATTTTTCTTTGCCTTGGTGAATGTTAGGAAAGTTTAGATAGTTTATTTTGTTGTTCTTTTTTTATTTTTTTTTTCTTGCAGTGTAAGCAAATTCAAGAGCTGAGTGAAAAAGTAGCCAAGATTGCACAGTAAGTCATTAGTCCACATTATATAGATAGGTGTAAGAGAGTTTTAGAGGTTACCTCCCTTTTTATGTGTAATGAGTATATACTTAGTATATGTAGTTTACAATGTCTATACTGAAGTTATTTCCCTTTGAAATAATGATTAATTCAAATTTGTTAAAAATTAATGGCATTTTTAAAAAATCTTCTTCTAAAATTTTAAAATATTAACAAGTAATATTATAAGCATTATTAGCACATATTTTAATTGATAAAATTTGCACAAGTTTTACATAGGAATATATAGGAAGAATCTTTAAAAATCTTCTTTACAACCACTGGGCCAGGAAAGATAAAGCTAAAATGGAATCATCCTAAGGTAGTGTATATAAGTTTGTAGAACCGAGTCCCCCCGGGGCAAGGGTGGGGCCAAAATAGCCGACCCAAGTTTTACATAGGAATATATAGGAAATTCTTACTAAAAATCCTTCTCCAGAACCACTGGGCCAGGAAAGATGAAACTCATGTGGAATAATCCTCTGGTAGTGTAGATTCAAGTTTGTTCAAATCATGACCCCTGGGGCTAGGGTGGGGCCAAAATGGCAATTTAAAAGTTTTACATAAAGGATATATAGGGAAACCTTTTAAAATCTTCTTTTCAAGTACTTCAAAGCTATGATTAGTGATATTTATATGGAATCATTTTCAGGTAGCGTAGATTCTAGTTTGTTTAAAACCAAGGGGGGGGGGGATATAACCAAATGTGCTCCATTTGTGGCCCCTTTTTTTATCATATTTCTGATTGTTTTTGAACCCATTTTTGGGTATGACCCTTAAATAGTGAAAATGACAGATCTTCAATGATTTCCCGGCGTGTTTCATTGCCCTCTGAAAGGTGTTTTTTTCAAGTTTGGAAATCATAACAAGTTAAAAGGTCAAAGATCTGGCGAACGTTGTTAATGTGAAAAAACATTAACTTTCTGCTTACCACGCCAAAAAATTTACTCTTCAGGGCATGCGGGTTTGGACGCGCGCAGAAATTCGCCAGTGAGAGGAACACATTCCTCTTATAAACCTTTTGATTTTTTTGCAAAAAAATTGTTTTCCAAATTGCGGAAATTGCTTTCTTTCATTTTTAATTTGAACAACAATACCACTAATTTTTAGTCTACGTATAAATCTGTCTTTGTGCTCTTGCATACCTGTGCTCTTGTCAGACATTCGCCGTTTTAATCAAGTACATCTCATGGTAAATTTTGTTTTTAGGGTTTAAAGCAATAGATTCATGTTCCAATATCTGTTTGAAAATAAAACAAACGTGGATAACTACAATTACTGATATTACAAAATAATTTTTAAGAATTTCGTATACGCTGTCGTTTTCACTCATTTTTCAAAATATAGGGTGACCTTTGAGTACAAGCTTTTTTACCGTCAAACGTTTCTTAAAAACAATCTAAAGTTCCGTATGATGCTATCAAATTTGCTATGTGTCTTAAATTCATATCATCTTTCAAATATTATTTGTTGAAATTTGGCGAACAATATAAGTTGTTATAATTTTTGTTGGCATCAAATTTTGCCCATATATAATTTTTTATCATTGACACACTGCTCTTTTGTCTATAAAACAGGCATTGGTTGCTGTAAATGTCACATATTTCAGTGAATATTTTTTTGACGTTTATAATTTTTACGGTTTTAATGAAGCTTTTATTTTCACTCTACTTTATTTCTTTACCATTCATTTATAATGCAGTGTCTTGAAAAGCCCTTGTTTCCAATTTCTCACGATGAAACTATGTGATGAAAAGTGGTCACATAAACTATAAATTCAATTATTAATGCTAGAAAGCGTTTAATGTCATATGGTATCTGTAACTATGTCATATAGTTCAAGAAATCTTTATTGATATAGCCCTCGTACACATGGTTTGATAAAGACTTCATTCCCTCGTTATTTTTCTTTGCCTTGGTGAATGTATCAATGGTTTGTAAATTTTGTTGTTCTTTTATTTTTTTTTTCTTGCATTTTAAGCAAATTCAAAGGGATTTAGCCAAGAGAAATTTTCAAAAATTTTATTGCCTTATATAGCAGAAATTAAGAGATTGAAGATTGCATTTTTTATGTGTATGAGTATATACATATACTTTTTTTAATGTAAAAAAATAAATACTTTGAATATTATTTCAAAAAATTTGTGGTGGAAAGATGTAATTTGATGTTTTAAAATTTTGAAAAACAATTAGAAAAACATTTTTACCAGACAAATTTTTTTAAAATCAATTTTATTGATAACTTGTCGAGGGCAGGAAAAGGTCATAAATTAGGACATGTCCCACTCTTACATTCTGATACTAAAAGTTGAAAAACAGTTCAACTGCACTGATTATTCAGCCCATACATATCTATTATGCATTCAATTCCACTGAATCTGGGGCTAATATGGATCGGATACCTTAAATGTATTGAAGCATGTGATTGTGTGAAATGATAGCCTAACATTAATTTTAAGCAGCATTAAAATGTTGAACTCCATGGTTTTTCTTTGCTACAGTAATGTAGTCCTCTGTCTTTTTTTTTTTTTTGGGGGGGGGGGGGAGTATCAGATAAAAACAGAGAGGACTACATTATTGCAGCTAAGTTTTACTATGCAAATTACAAATTTATGAACTTTTATCTTGCAGGAGAGTTGAAGATTCCTCATTAGTCTTCCCAACTAGGTATCAAACTGTAGAAAATCCAGGTTGGTCTATATTTCTATTTATATATCTAAAGGTTTCCATTAATTTTAAGAAGTGAACTAAAGTAACAGTAACTGTAAAACATTATCACCAAAAGTAATAACTCTTCAATGAGCCAAATTTAGAGATTAATTGATACTGTGGTTTCATTAATTTTCATTAGCATCAATTTTTGTTGGCAACAATTTTGGTGTATTCTGTAAAACAAATAGTTTTACGGATTCGTCATTTTGTGGATAAAAGCATTGCCTATAATACATATGAATAACACATTTCTCAAGTCAATGACAATTGAATTTTGTGGATTTTCTCAACAATGATATCCACGAAAATTGGTGTCCAATGAATATTGATGAAAACACAGTAAATGGTATACCCATAACTCTATACGACTATAGACATTAAAGAGTTTTGACTGAAAGATTACAAAATCGAAAATTTTCTTCTTAATTTGGATTACGAATGATATTAACAAACTTCCAAATGAATATTGCAGAGACTGTGTTAATAGTCTGTAGATGTCCAAACAAGAAGACAGCCAGGAAGACATTTTTACTGGACAATGGGCGGCTAGCCCTGGACGCTGTTAAGACAAGCTTTAACCTGGACACAGTGGAGATATTTATAGGTACATTTAAACTTGGTTATAATGAAGTCACTGGGACTTGTAAAATTACTTTGCTATATCTGTAATTCGTTATATCTGTATACGGAATTCGTTGCATCCATAAAGCTGGGGATCCAAGATAACTTCTTCACAATATCCTTGTTCATACCAAACAAGTTTTGCTGTATAACACTCCCTAGCAACGAAGTTTAAAAGAGGAAAGAAACTTGCATTCTGATATATTTGTGCACATATACCTCAAATTTCTAGCATTTTCCTTTTCAACTGACCCGGACACAGTTGCATTGCTGTTTTTGTTAACATTTTAAAATTCTATTTATATTTAACAAATAACCTGACTTTTATGAATTAATTGACTTACACAGTATACTGTAAAATCACATATTTACGTGGGGTCATATTTTTGTGGTTTGAGGAAAAAAAATTTTGTTTGTGGGGATTTGACTAAATTGTGGAGGAGTTAAACTGTTATGCATATGAAATTTTACATTTCGTGGTGTATATTAGTTTGTGGGTCTCTTCATACTTCGAAAACAAGGAAAGTTGGACCCAACGAAAATTTTTCCACAGTATATAGTCATGTCAATCACCTGTATTTTTTTTATTTGTATTTCTCAAATTAAAAGCTTGGTTTATTCTGCATTATCAGATGGTGACCCCTGCACCGTGTCCAGTAACATAGACGGCTACATTCCCCTCAGGTTCCAGCCCTCCTCCACTCTTATCATCCAGGGAAAACCCTTGGGAATCCCCCATCACATAGACACCGAGGAACAGAATTATCACAACACGGAGGCGACAAATGGCACCGTGTGTTAGTCTAACTGGGCGAAGAAATATTGCAGTTAACAATCATAAAAAAATTGACCATTTTAACATTTATTTTAAAGTGCTGTTAAGAGTAATACAAATTGCTGAATCTGCTTTGCTAGTCTATGTCATTTTATCAATAAATATTCTACATTTCTATTAAATAGTTTAGTATCGAAATATTTGGAAAGCTTGAAGATATGAATAGATAGCCAAGTATTTTTTTTACATCTGAACGACAAATAGAGAATATGCAATATTAATACTAGTATTAATTTTATTTTGCTCATTTTAGTCAGTTTGCATTTTATGACAAATATTGTTACAAGTATCTATTCGCTGAACTTTTTGAAAGAATACCTTTATTTATACTCATTATTTTGTTGTATCCATTGTAGATCTGAATTGTTAAAAACCCCTCATGTGTTCTTATATTTTTTAAAAAATCCTTTTTTAAAGCATTTTTAAACAAGAAACAAAGCATAACACTGAATTGTACAAGTTTTAATTTTGAAAGGCTTGTTCTTGTATTTAATCAAAATGACATATATTTGTTCATAGAATTCATTTTATTTCACATGATTGTTTTTTAATCGCAATTAATTGACAACATTTAATAAATACAACTTATCTTGTCTAAATGTTATTTTTCAGGGTTTTTGTATGACCCTGCTATAAAATGTCAAGGGGGGGGTTATATTACCTAGGGATGTGCGATTTTATCGGTATTCCGGTATATCACGATTTTTTGTTACGTGATACGTATCGTGATATGGAGACCTAAATATCATTTAGGTACATATTATGAAGTCCAGAAATTATTCATTTATTTGTTCAATCTTTCAAATTACAATTGCAGAAAGTCTAAAAAAATGTTGTTAAAGGTGAAAAGAACTGCTTCTTACCATCCAAACATGATTAATTTTATTAACATAAAAAATTTAAAGAAGTGAAATTTTGTTTTTCTAGCATATTTTTGAGAAAAATTATGACTATTCATTTAAAATCATTGTAAAAATTGCTTGTAAAAAGATTGTGATATTATCGTGATATTTTGGTTAAAAAATCGTGATGTATCGCGATACAAATTTTTCAGCGATACCCATCCCTAATATTACCCCTGTTTTGTTTGTAATTGTCATCCTTTACTTACCAAGATTGCACAGTAAGTTATCAGTCCATACAAAAGATAGATGTAAGAGAGTTATACCCCTTTGTAGCACTTCTTTATTCAAATCAGTGATCATAATGCCTAGGCGTTAATTAATGAATTAGAATCTTAACAATATTGACAAGAAAAATCATTAGCGTATTTGACATGTATTTTATTGTTAAAATTTGCACAAATTAAGAAAATCATTTTTGAAACTTCAATTTTTTGCGTTTTAAATTCAAAATAATCAGATATAAAAGTTAAGTATATTCAAAACTTATATAAATGTATTGATTCTAAATTTAACTATCTGCAAACATATCCACGTGTTTGTCACTTTGTTTATAAACCAAATTTTGCAGCCCTACTGCAAGTAGGGAAGTGAAACTTGCGAGGAAGAGAAGAGCAGGTTTTTGGCTAGACTGTGCGCATTGATTGTGAACAATTACTAAATCCATCTAAAAAGGAAACATTTTATTAAAAAGGCAAACAGTTTCTTAGAAAGCACATTCATAACTATCCATGAAAAATCTCTGTAACTAAATACCATGTATCTAACCAGTGTAATGTACCACTCAAACTTGTTTTTTTTTTTTATTCTACAAAGTACCATGTTTCATTTTCCTATGAAACATATAAAACGCACTATACACTTTTTACTGAATTACTAAATACAATTCATCAAATCAACCTACCAAATACTTGACCGTAAACTCAAATTTAGAGAAAAAATTCTGCAGTTTTACCATCTCAATATTTGTCAGCCATATTGAATTTCCGGTGCAGTTACAGGTCTACGCATACCCTGCACAATGTACAATGTACATGGTGTACACCATAAAGTGCACACTTTTTCACTTGATCAAATCAAGCGCAATGACCTGCATGTATATATGTCACTACAGGTTTACGCTTTTTATGGCGCAAAAACAGAATAAAATTAGGCCAGATATTTTTATGCGCCCGCATCGCTAGATCCGGGGCGTATATTGTTTTTGCCCTGTCTGTCTGTTTGTTTGTCTGCAACTTCATATTTGAGACGCGTACTCCACTTCCGAATGACACCAAGGCCAATGACCTTGTGACCTTGACTGTGACCTATATGCTAAATATAGCTTTTTGAACCTTCACCATCACTTTTGAACTATGAGAGATATAGACTTAATATTTGATATACATACACCACTGTTAAAGTTCTTACAAATGACTCCAAGGGCAATGACATTGTGACATTGACTGTGGCCAATATGCTAAAAATAGCTTCTTTCGAACTTTGTTGCCGCTCAAACACATCTTGTTTAGAGAGTTTTGATAATAGCACATTTCTCATGTGATGAATATAGTAATTTTGTTCTTTGTTCAATTTGCTTGGAATCCTGGTCTCCTTTAATTCAACCAAGCAGACATGGACTTGAATATTTAAATTGTCATTTTATGCCCTTGATATAGTTGAACACCATTCATTGTAAATTGGATTTTACCGTGAAATTAATCTTAATTTGTTATGTATAATATGTGATCAAATTAAATGTAAAACGTAAAATTCTTTAAAAGAAAAAAAGCAATGAAAAGTTGACCATTGAACATCGTAAAAGAAGGAATATAAAGAAGCCTCAAAACTTACCACCAACTCCTTCGACAAAATTACACAATTCAGTGTGTACCCATTGTATTTAGATAATTGATGCCATTACTTTCAATATCCTGATAGCCCCCCTTCCCGTGTAAATTCTTCCTTTAGATTTTATATTTTTTTGGTGACTATCTTTCTGACTGACGTTTTTAGCTCACCTGAGCCGAAGGCTCAAGTGAGCTTTTCTTATCACATTTTGTCCGGCGTCCGTCCGTCCGTCTGTCTGTAAACTTTTCACATTTTCGACTTCTTCTCAAGAACCGCTGGGCCAATTTCAACCAAACTTGCCACAAAGTATCCTTGGGTGAAGGGGATTCAAGTTTGTTCAAATGAAGGGCCACGCCCTCATTCAAGGGGAGATAATTGGGAATTAATGAAAATTTAGTGGCATATTTTAAAAATCTTCTTCTCAAGAACCACTGTGCCAGGAAAGATGAAACTTATGGGGAAACATCCTCAGGTAGTGTAGATTCAAGTTTGTTCAAATCATGACCCCGGGGGTAGGGCGGGGCCAAAATGGCCGACCAAAGTTTTACATAGAAATATATAGGAAAATTCTTTAAACATCTTCTTCTCAAGAATGACAAAGCCATAATTCATCATATTTATATGGGAGCATGCTCAGGTAGTGTAGATTCAAGTTTGTTCAAATCATGACCCCCCGGGGTAGGGCGGGGCCAAAATGGCCGACCAAAGTTTTACATAGAAATATATAGGAAAATTCTTTAAAAATCTTCTTCCAAAGAATGACAAAGCCATAATTCATCATATTTATATGGAAGCATGCTCAGGTATTGTAGATTCAAGTTTGTTCAAATCATGACCCCCGGGGGTAGGGCGGGGCCAAAATGGCCTACCAAAGTTTTACATAGAAATATAAAGGAAAATTCTTTAAAAATCTTCTCAAGAATGACAAAGCCATGATTCATCATATATATATATATATAGAAGCATGCTAAGGTGGTGTAGTTTCAAGTTTGTTCAAATCATGACCCCCCGGGGTAGGGCGGGGCCAAAATGGCCGACCAAAGTTTTACATAGAAATATATAGGAAAATTCTTTAAAAATCTTTCTCAAGAATGACAAAGCCATAATTCATCATATTTATATGGAAGCATGCTCAGGTAGTGTAGATTCAAGTTTGTTCAAATCATGACCCCTGGGGGTAGGGCGGGGCCAAAATGGCCGACCAAAGTTTTTAAAGATATATATAGGAAAATTCTTTAAAAATCATTTTCTAAAAAATAGCAAATCTATGATTGGTCATGGGACTACTTTTGGATTTAAACTTTACAATAAAAAGCCATTTTCTACCCTTTCCTACCCTTAGTGCTCAGGTGAGCGATGTGGCCCATGGGCCTCTTGTTCATGCATACCAATTGTTAGTCCATTATTTACACACGGAATTGAAGACGGATTTTTAGGTTATTTCCTGATCATGACAAGGAGCACATGGCGGGTGTGACCAGTGAGAAAAAGGATGCTCACTCCACCATGGCACCTGATCCAACCTCTGATGTTTCGGATGTCCGTGTTTGCCCTGCTCCTGTTTTGTATTGTTTTATGGACTTTGAGATTGAATATTGTTTGCAAACTCCATATATCCCTCTTCTTTGACCCCAGGTCGCCCGCGTGGCGCAGTGGTTAGAGCGTCTGCTCTAGAGTCGCGAAGTAATGAGTCAATCCTTACTTCGCGAGTTCGAATCCCACTGTGGGACGTGGAGACCGGTCCTTCGGATGAGACCGTATAAACCGAGGTCCCGTGTCGCAGTAGATGCTGGCACGAAAAAGATCCCTCCCTGCTCAATGGCCCTGAGTGCCGAGTATAGGACAAAATTTGCAGCTCTCCACCGGCAAGTGGTGGCGTCTCCATATGAATGAAAAATTCTCGAGAGGGACGTTAAACAATATACAATCAATCAATCTTTGACCCCAGCAATTTTAACCTCCTATTACCTGACTTTGACCAATACTTTACTAATTTTACCTCCAAGGTCTATCTACCATTTTATTATTATTGAATGATTTAACCATACTGGTGTAGGCTTTTAAAAATAACTATATCGACTCATTTAAATTCCTCTGCACGGATATCTTTACTAAAAAACGAAAGAATTATTCGTGGATTAAACAGAAACCAGAGTATTCATTACACTGGAACATCCAACATTTTATATCTTTCTCAGATATATTTCAGCTTGTTTTTAAGATTAAAAAAATAAGGCATTCCAAGCCGGTACAATGATTTTTAAAGGTAAAACTCTTCTCTTTAAACTGGCACTACTTGCGTGGTCAATGAAATATGGTTGACAATGGTAAAATCAGTATTCTCTTTTCTCATGCACACGATTCTCAGCAATTGCTCATGCAACGTTCAATTGTCACAACAAATACAGATGGTCTTTTGAGAGACTTGATCTTTCTTGCGACCTTGAACTCGATCGATTTATCTTTTTCATGCCCTGTATATACTTTCAATATCCTGATAGCCCCTCTCTAAACACTTTGTTTTTGGTGACTGTCTTTCTTTGACTCCAGCAATTTTAACCTCTATCAATCTGACCTTGACCTATACTTTTCTTATTTTGCCTTCAAGGTCAATCTACCATTTATTATTGAATGATATGACCCTACTGGTGTAGGGTTTTAAAAATAAGTCTATAGACTCATTTATGTTCCTCTCCACGGAAATCTTTAGTAAAAGGCGAAAGATTTAATCGTGGATTGAAGAGAAACCAGAGTAATCGCAGCAGTAGAACTTCCAAAATTTTATGCCATTCTCAGATATATTTCAGCTTGTTTGTAAGCATTACCATATCATAGATTTAAAACGACAATTTTGAATAGCAGGTTACAATTGCTTGTCTTTTTTCATAAGCAGTATATGCTATCTATAGAAATGACAATTCTTGTTCACTTTATTTCATGGTCAGTTTGAACACTGTCCAAATATCTCCATTGTACAATTTATAATACCGGTGTCTTTGTCTTCTCAAAGGGAAACAACTTCACAATGATAACCATTTGAACCAAGACATTTCACTCGATTTAGGAAATTGCGCACGTGAAATTTCTTCTGGTGACTCAAGTGTAGGACAAAGTCATTGTGCAGCCCATCCAATTATTAAACAAGATGTATAAGTGAACCTGTTTAAGTAAATAAGAAAAGCACCTTTTTCCCAAATTACCACTTTTCTTCTGCGTGCGCACTACGCATTAAAGGCAAAAATTTCTATGTATTATTTTTTTTAACAACATATATGATTTTTGTTAAAATCCTTTCAATTCCATCTATGCTAGAAAAAATAAGGCATTCCAAACCGGTACAACGAAGGATTTTTTGAAGGTAAAACGCTTTAGCTGGCTCTACTTGCGTGGTCAATAAAATATGGTTGAATGGTTCTTTTCTCATGCATACGGTTTTTAGCAATTGCTCATGCAACGTTCAACACTGTCACAACAAATACAGATGGTCTTTTGAGAGACTTGATCTTTCTTGCGACCTTGAACTCGATCGATTTATCTTTTTCATGCCCTGTATATACTTTCAATATCCTGATAGCCCCCCCCCCTCTAAACGCTTTGTTTTTAGTGACTGTCTTTCTTTGACTCTAGCAATTTTAACCTCTTTCAATCTGACCTTGACCTATACTTTTCTTATTTTGCCTTCAAGGTCAATCTACCATTTATTATTGAATGATATGACCCTACTGGTGTAGGGTTTTAAAAATAAGTCTATAGACTCATTTATGTTCCTCTCCACGGAAATCTTTAGTAAAAGGCGAAAGATTTAATCGTGGATTGAAGAGAAACCAGAGTAATCGAAGCAGTAGAACTTTCAACATTTTATGCCATTCTCAGATATATTTCAGCTTGTTTTTAAGCATTACCATATCCTAGATTTAAAACGACAATTTTGAATAGCAGGTTACAATTGCTTGTCTTTTTTCATAAGTCAGTATATGCAAGATGTATAAGTAAATGACAAGGAAGTAAAGCATCTTTTTCCCAAATTACCACTTTTCTATGCGCACTACGCATTAAAATGAAAATTTCTATGTTATTTTTTTCAACATATATGAATACTGTCCAAATATTTCAATTGTACAATTTCTACTGCCGGTACAAGGATTTTTTAAAGGTAAAACTCTTCTTTTAAACTGGCACTCTTCTCAAAGGGAAACAAATTCACAATGATATGCCATTTCACAACAAATACAAGACACATTTCAGTTTTAACCTCGAATCTGACCTTGAAATTGCGCCACGAGAAATTTCTTCTGGTGACTCAAGTGTAAAAGGACAAAGATCATTGTGCAGCCCATCCAATTTTTAAACAAGATATATTTGAACTTGTTTGTAAGCATACAATATCAAAGATTTAAAACGACAATTTTTTTCTTCTGCGTGGTTACAATTAAAGGCTTTTTCATAAAGTATATGCTATCTATAGAAATGACAATTCTTGTTCACTTTAAGTTTGAATACTGTCCATATATGATTTTTGTCTTCTCAAAGGGAAACAACTTCACAATTCCCCATGCTAGAAACAAGACATTTCAATACGGTACAATTTCTTTTTTGACTTGTAAAACAAAGTCATTGTGCAGCCCATCTTTAAACAAGATGCAAGTGAACCTGTTTAAGTCAATGAAAAGCACTTTTTTCCCAAATTACCTCTTTTCTGCGTGCACTGGTTAAAGGCAAAAATTTCTATGTATTTATTTTAACAACATATATGATTTTTGTCCAAATCATTTCAATTCCATCTATGCTAGAAAAAAGTAGGCATTCCAAACCGGTACAACGAAGGATTTTTTGAAGGTAAAACTTTCTCTTTAAACTGCACCGTGGTCAATGAAATATGGTTGACAATGGTTCTTTTCTCATGCATCTTTTTCATGCAACAGTCAATATATACTTTCAATTGCTCCTGATAGCCCCCCTTTTTCATGCCCATATACTTTCCCTCTAAACGCTTTGTTTTAGTGACTGTCTTTCTTTGACTCCAGCAATTTTAACCTCTATCAATCTGACCTTGACCTATACTTTTCTTATTTTGCCTTCAAGGTCAATCTACCATTTATTATTGAATGATATGACCCTACTGGTGTAGGGTTTTAAAAATAAGTCTATAGACTCATTTATGTTCCTCTCCACGGAAATCTTTAGTAAAAGGCGAAAGATTTAATCGTGGATTGAAGAGAAACCAGAGTAATCACAGCAGTAGAACTTCCAAAATTTTATGTCATTCCCAGATATATTTCAGCTTGTTTGTAAGCATTACCATATCATAGATTTAAAACGACAGTTTTGAATAGCAGGTTATAATTGCTTGTCTTTTTTCATAAGCAGTATATGCTATCTATAGAAATGACAATTCTTGTTCACTTTATTTCATGGTCAGTTTGAACACTGTCCAAATATCTCCATTGTACAATTTCTACTACCGGTGTCTTCTCAAAGGGAAACAACTTCACAATGATAACCATTTGAACCAAGACATTTCAGTCGATAGAGGAAATTGCGCACGAGAAATTTCTTCTGGTGACTCAAGTGTAGGACAAAGTCATTGTGCAGCCCATCCAATTATTAAACAAGATGTATAAGTGAACCTGTTTAAGTAAGTAAGTAAAGCACTTTTTTCCCAAATTACCTCTTTTCTTCTGCGTGCGCACTACGCATTAAAGGCAAAAATTTCTATGTATTATTTTTTTTAACAACATATATGATTTTTGTCCAAATCCTTTCAATTCCATCTATGCTAGAAACAATAAGGCATTCCAAACCGGTACAAAGAATTTTTGAAGGTAAAACGCTTCTCTTTAAACTGGCACTACTTGCGTGGTCAATGAAATATGGTTGACAATGGTTCTTTTCTCATGCATACGGTTTTTCGCAATTGCTCATGCAACAGGCAACACTGTCACAACAAATACAGATGGTCTTTTGAGAGACTTGATCTTTCTTGCGACCTTGAACTCGATCGATTTATCTTTTTCATGCCCTGTATATACTTTCAGTATCATGATAGCCCCCCCTCCCCACCCCTCTAAACGTTTTGTTTTTGGTGACTGTCTTTCTTTGACTCTAGCAATTTTAACCTCTTTCAATCTGACCTTGTCCTATACTTTTTTTATTTTGCCTTCAAGGTCAATCTTCCATTTATTATTGAATGATATGACCCTACTGGTGTAGGGTTTTAAAAATAAGTCTATAGACTCATTTATGTTCCTCTCCACGGAAATCTTTAGTAAAAGGCGAAAGATTTAATCGTGGATTGAAGAGAAACCAGAGTAATCGCAGCAGTGGAACATCCAAAATTTTATGCCTTTCTCAGATATATTTCAGCTTGTTTTTAAGCATTATCATATCATAGATTTAAAACGACAGTTTTGAATAGCATTTTACAATTGCTTGTCTTTTTTCATAAGCAGTATATGCTATCTATAGAAATGACAATTCTTGTTCACTTTATTTCATGGTCAGTTTGAACACTTTCCAAATATCTCCATTGTACAATTTCTACTACAGATGTCTTCTCAAAGGGAAACAACTTCACAATGATAACCATTTGAACCAAATTTCAGTCGATAGAGAAAATTGCGCTCGTGAAATTTCTTCTGGTGACTCAAGTGTAGGGCAAAGTCATTGTGCAGCCGACCCAATTATTAAACAAGATGTATAAGTAAACCTGTTTAAGTAAGGAAGTAAAGCATCTTTTTCCCAAATTACCACTTTTCTTCTGCATGCGCACTACGCATTAAAGACAAAAATTTCTATTATTATTTTTTTTAACAACATATATGATTTTTGTCCAAATCCTTTCAATTCCATCTATGCTAGAAAAAATAAGGCATTCCAAACAGGTACAAGGATTTTTTAAAGGTAAAACTCTTCTCTTTAAAGTGGCACTACTTGCGTGGTCAATGAAATATGGTTGACGATAGTAAAATCAGTAACCTTTTTTCTCATGCATACGGTTCTTAGCAATTGCTCATGCAACGTTCAATTGTCACAACAAATACAGATGGTCTTCTGAGAGACGACTTGATCTTCATGGTTACTGTCTTTCTTTGACTCCAACAATTTTAACCTCTTTCAATCTGACCTTGACCTATCCTTTTCTTATTTTGCTTTGGAGGT